AGGGGCGGGGCCGGGGCGGGACCCAGGGGCGATTAGCTCTCGGCTAGTGCGGAGCACAGAAGGGGCGGGGCCACGTCCGTGGCGGGGGCGGGGAAGAGTTGGATCTGGGTCCGGTGGCACCGAGAGGGTGCGGCCTGAACCCAGGCGAAAGCGGGGCAGTATCTGGGCTTACCGGCGCGCAGGGTCCTTGCCCCGGCAAGCGCAGCAGCAGCCGAGCAGCGACAGCAGCAGGCAGACGAGAAGGACGAGCAGCGCGCCCGCGCCCATCACACCCTTGCGCTGGTTGGTCTCTGTAGGGGATTATGGGGTCAGCGCGGTTTCTGGCCCCCCCTGCATTCCTTAACGGGACGCCCCTCATCCACTTACCTAGGTGGCAGGCACCAGTGACCGGGTCGCACGAATCCTCGTGGCAGCTGCAGGCCTGAGCACAGTCCGCGCCGTGGAGTCCGGGCGGGCACGTCACGTTACAGCTGCCGGGACATAGAGTCAAGGCAGGCCACAGCCGCCCCCCTAGGATGCCCCCTACCCTCACCCCTCACCCGCGGCCAGGGCCCAGGGTCCAGGGTCCCAGAACCGGGCTCTCTCGCGCTCCATTCATCGTCTAGGGTTTGAAGCCCAGCCCTGCCCGTGGCACATATTGGGGTGGTGGATGTTTTGGAAACGAATGTTGCACAACCAGTTGGGGGGACCTGGGGGATAGGACCCGTGGTGGCCGCGCAGCAGCGCCCACTGCTGGGGCTGACTTAGGTGGGTGGGAAGAGGGGCTGCTGAACCAGACCCTTGGCTGTAAGTGGAGGTCCCTGCTCCTTCTATACCAACTCGGGGTCACCTCAAGAGCCCACTGACGCAGGCTGGACTGGTCACCAGATCCCGCGCTGAACTGGTGGCTTCCCGAAATAAGGGCAGGAAACTGCCCTCAAAGAGCCTACTGTCACCCCCTATCTGGGGTAAGGGACCAAGGCTGAGGTGATAACCCAGCCCAGGGTGGAAAGGCCACCTCGTCGGCCCCTGGGGTCTGGCTGGACCCTCCTTTGTGGCAGATACAAGCCCTCCACCCCCTCCCGGTCCCGGGGCACTCACTGGGGCCCGTGGACGCCAGGACTGCACAGGCAGCGCCCCGACTGAAAGTCGCAGTGGCCGCTGCCGCAGTCGGCGCATACGAAGGCGCAGTCCTCGCCGTAGGTGCCATTGCTACACTTGGTCTCGCACCTTGGAAAGATGGGAGGAGGCGTCAGCAGAAATGGAAGCAAACGGACCACAGTGCCCTCGACAGAGGGCCTTCATGGGGGAGGCAGGGCAGGGGGCTGCGTGTCTGGGCCGACGGAAGCAGGGCTGCTCACCGGTCGCCGATCCAGCCCGCGTTGCAGCGCGTACACTTGCCGGTGACATGGTTACAGGCATGGCCGTCGCGGCACGGCGGACAGCGGTGGCTGCAGCCCTCGCCATAGAAACCGGTGGCGCAAGGCTGGTCGCACTTGGTTCCGTTCCAGCCAGGCTCGCACGTCAAGCAGCGGCCCTCGGCTACCGTGCACGGCTGCTGGCCCTTACACTGGCCACACCTGGGGGAGGGGTCGGAGGCTAGGGAAGGCTGGGACCCGCCTCACCCCTGCCCCCATCGGCGGCCCGCCCTTCCACCTCCTCCCTCCCTGGCCGAGAGACCGCGCTTACCGGCGGCGACAGCCCAAGCCGTAGAAGCCGGCGGGGCACGGCTCGCGACAGTACTTGCCGCGGTAGCCCGGCTCGCAGGCACACGTGCCGTCCACAGGGTGGCAGCGGCCGCGGAAGCACTGGCAGTAGCGATCGCAGCGCGCGCCGAACGTACGCTCGCGGCACTGACAGCGGCCGCTCTGCTGCTCGCAGGGAGACGAGTTGCAGGCGCACTGGTTGTTGCAGCTGCGGCCCCACCAGCCTGCGTGGCACAGGCAGGCGCCGGTCTGTGGGTCGCAGCGCGACGTGGCGCTGCAGTAGCACGCGCTGGCGCACTGCGCGCCCCACCAGCCGGGCTCACAGCGGCACGCGCCGCTCCGCGGGTGGCACGTGCCGTGCTGGCACTGGCACGCATGCTCGCAGCGCGCGCCCCAGCGCCGCGCGTGACAAGTACACTGGCCTGTCACGTCCTCGCACTGCCCGTGTGGGTGGCAGCTACACAGCTCCTTGCAGTCGGGGCCCCAGAACTGGCGCGGGCACTCTGCGGGGGAGGAGCGGAGGGGGTGGAAGGCCCCGGTGCTTGAGTAGGTGCCCCCAGCCAGCCAGAACCTGCCCGCGTCCCGCACTCCAGCCGCCACCTTTGGGGACCCGCCCCGAAGACGATCCGACCCCGACCCACCCTGGACCCCGCCCCATCTCTCCAGGATTCCGCCCCACCGACCAATACTGGCCCGACCCCACGCTCACTGGTGTCGCAGTTGGCACCGAAGTAGCCGTGGCGGCAGCGGCACTCGCCAGGCCTCACGCACACCTCGTTCTCCGAGCACGTCGAGTTGCCTTCGCACACCGCTGTGGACCAGACAGGCCAGAGCTGCTGCGCGTCCTAGCCCCGCCCCCGACCCCGCCCCAGGTACCCGGGATGACCACTCACCAATCCCACACTCGTCCCCTTGCTGCCTCCAGCCAGCGCAGCACATGGGCACCTGGGAGCTGCGAGCAGAGGGAGGACATCTGAGCCCAATGCCCCTCCCCCAGCCCCCATCTGCTCAGGGCTCCTCTGCAGCCTCCTCACAGACTCCTTGCCTCTGCATTTGTGCTCCTGTCCTAGGGGGGTGGTTACTGAGGTCCTGCCAGGCAATGTGTCTGGCGGTGGAGGATTGCCACAAACAGACCTGACCGCCAAGAACTTTCCAGCCCAGAACTGCCACCCCATCTCACCTAACTCCTTTGTGTCTTCCTCCCACAGCCACTAGGCCTGAGAAAAGTGGCCTTGGAGTCCCAGGAAGGACCACAGTGAGGTAGCAGCCAGGAAGAGGACCATGGGCCTCAGGACCTGCTCAAACGTGAGGGTCTAGAGCATCCCTCCAAGTGGAGGGCCCGGCCTAATGGGTGTCATGGATCCAGATGTGATATGATATGACATGACAAGGACAGAACTAGGACTGGCTGGGCCACAGGGACACACCTAGATGCCCCAACCCTGGGGCTGAGCTCCACTGGGGAGGGGCAGCCTCTGGGTGGGGGGTGGCATGTAGACACAGTGAGGTGACCACTTGGCAGAGGGGCTTCTGGAGGGAGGTAGGATGAGGCCCACCCAGCCACTAGGGAAAGAGCAGGCACATGGGGAGTCCTCCATGTGCAGGAGGAAGGTCAAACTGTGGCAAAAGGGCTCAGGGACCAGGGTGGAGGAAGGAGCTACTAGAGCATCTGTTTATGCCTTTGTTGTTGTTTTTGAAACAGAGTCTCGCTCTGTTGCCCAGGCTGGAGTGCAGTGGCACGATCTCAGCTAACTGCAACTTCTGCCTCCCAGGTTCAAGCAATTCTCCTGCCTCAACCTCCCTAGTAGCTGGGATTACAGGCGCGTGCCACCACACATGGCTAATTTTTGTATTTTTTACTAGAGACGGGGTTTCGCCATGTTGGCCAGGCTGGTCTTGAACTTCTGACCTCAGGTGATCCATCTGCCTCGGCCTCCCAAAGTGCTGGTATTGCAGGCATGAGCCAGCATGCCAGGCTTGTTTATGCTGATGGTCTTCCTCTTGTTCCATTTGATTTGGCTTTATAGAGTACACAATGCTTTATAGAGTACACAATGCGACCTCAGTAGGTCCTTTCTAACCGCGGCACTTCAGGAGAGCACAACCTCTAAAACCCCGGGTGGATGGTGTATGTGAGCACAAAGGTTTGGAGGCCCTGCCTGAGTGAAGCCATGATGGCTAGAGAGGATTCATAGGAGATGAGCTGGGGTTAGCTCACATTCAGGGGCAGAGGAGGCTGAGAAGGAACCACCACCAAGGCTGCAGGATCCTAGGGTCCCAGCCAACCCAGAACTTCGCCTCAATCCTAAAGGCACGTAACAGCCATTTGCACTTTAGAGAAAAGAAGCGTGCTTCTTCACAAGCAGGCTCAGATTCAGTATCTGAATTCAGAACCAGGATGTGGTGGTGGGGGGAGTTTGGAAGGAAGCCTGAAGACCCCAGTGGGATGGGACAGACTGGCTCCTCCACACCATGCATTTAAGGATAGTACGTGCCTGGCACGCTCCTGCCCAGGCTGCAGAAGATGCCCCAACCATTCCCCAGCTAGACAGAATTCCACCCCCTGCACAGAGCACCTGGGCCTCGAGGCCCCTCCTCCTGAACAAGGCTTGGCTCTCCTTCAGGTCAAAGGTGGGACCTGGCGAACAGGACCATAAAATCCCAAACTTTGAGGAATCGGTTCAGTGTATTTTCCACGACTAAAACTGAAAACCAGAGACAGGAATACGAAGGCCTGGCTTTTCCTGGCCCCTGCCCCCACGTCTCCACCCACCCAGCCCTGACCCAGGGAGCACCAAGGTGCCCAAATGCAGGGAGACCCAGGTCTGCTGGCCATCACCCACCCACTTGTGTCTGCTTCTGAACCGTGGCCACTGGATGGAGAGCCTCTGCAGGTGTCCCTCCTGTGAGGAGCTTTGCCAGGTGGCCTGCTGGAATTGCCCCGGAAGCACTAACCCCCTTCTGCCCTGGACATGTGGTTCTGTGGCTAGGAGCCTAGTTTTAGGGCCACACTCAGCTGGGTTTGATGTCTGGGTTTGCCACTTGCGGTATGACCTCAGGCATGGAGCTTAAGCTCTTTGAGCTTCAGGCTCCTTAGCTATATAGTAGGGCTCATGGGTTTGGTCCTACTGTAGGAAGATTAAGAGAGCCTAGATGTTTTTAGCCAGGCATGGTGCCATGTACCTGTAGTCCCAGCTACTCAGGAAGCTGAGGCAAGAGGATCACTTGAGCCCAAAGAGTTTGAGGCTGCAGTGAGCTATGACGGCACCACTGCTTTCCAGCCTGGGCAAGAGTGAAACCCTGTCTCAAAAAGAGAGATAGAGATAGGGGAGAGAAAGAGAGAGAGAGAGAACCCAGACCTATGAAGTGGTTTGGCACATACTAAGCACAAAGGATCCTGAGGGCAGGCTGCAGTGCCTCTGAGTGCACTCGGTCATCCCTGGCTTAGTGGGCACCCAGGCCTAACCCCAGCAGAGCTAATACCCACCAGCAGGACAGAGTCCATTTGGGTTCACTGAGGACAAGATGCTTTCCTTCTTGGAAGGGCTGGCAGAAAAGGCCAGGTGGTGGTGGCAAGCCGACTCTCTGAAGATCTTACAAAGATGGGTGGGGAAAGATGGCCTGCTGCAGGGCCAGTCCCATGCTTGCTCTGTAAGTCGGTAAGACCCTGAGGAGCCAAGCCATAGGCTGGGCCCAGGCCCCTCAGCAAGTAAGACATGCTGTGTAGGGAGGCCCAGTGCCGTGGCTCAAGCCTGTAATCCCAGCACTTTGGGAGGCCGAGATGGGCGGATCACGAGGTCAGGAGATCGAGACCATCCTGGCTAACATGGTGAAACCCCGTCTCTACTAAAAAATACAAAAAAGCTAGCCGGGTGAGGTGGCGGGCGCCTGTAGTCCCAGCTACTCAGGAGGCTGAGGCAGGAGAATGGTGTAAACCCAGGAGGCGGAGCTTGCAGTAAGCTGAGATCCAGCCACTGCACTCCAGCCTGGGCGAGAGAGTGAGACTCGTTCTCAAAAAAAAAAAAAAAAAAAAAAAGACATGCTGTAGGTTTCTCCCTCATAGAGCATTATTTCTTCTGTGATTCAAACCCACTGTGAGTTCTCACATCTTCAAGTTGGCTCATGGTATCCATACCTATCCATGTTCTCCCCCAAATCCAGGCAGAAAGGCTTCTCTGCCTGCCACACCCTTGAGACCCCACACCTGCCTGGCCCTCCTCCTGCCCTGCCTGGACACTTCTCCTCTGGTTTCTGTCCCCATCCTCAGATCTCTCTTCTGCCCACACTAGCTCCCTCGGGAAGCTCACTGAACCCTGACAACACCTTGGACCCTCCAGCAGGGCTCGCCCGTCAATGCTAGACTTGCAAATCCAACTGCCCAATAGATGGATGACGTCACCAGAGGGAGGCCTCATGGGCCTCATGCTCAACCAGCCCAAACCTGAACTCTTGACCTCCTTGCACCCTGAGTCTTCCCTGTCTCAGATAACCCCTGCCTGTCCTTTCAGGCTGGGAGGCTGAGACCTGGAGAAGCATCTCTGGCTTCTCTTTCTTGTCTACACAAGATCCATTGAGAAAAAAGATGCTGAGCTCTAGCTTCTAAAGGACATCTAAAATGGGATCACTTCCCCTTCCCTATCCCAGCCTTGTGAGAGCCACCCTCCATCTCCCTGGCTTTTTGTAACTGGCCCCAGCTTCCACCCCCTGCCCCTCAGGGTGTGAAGTGTTTGCCACCTGGCAGCCAATCCTGGTCAGATCCCACCCTTTCTCTGTGCAAAGCCCCAGGGGGTCCCATGGCCCTCAGAGGAAAAGTCCAAGTCTTCTGAGCAGTGGCAGCTCACAGTGGCCTGCCCACCCTCACTCTCTGGCAGCTCCTCCGCCAGTCCCTCCTGGACTCTGCCCAGCCCCCTGGATCTTTCCTGTACTTCCACAGGCCCTCTGCCTTGGGAACCTTGCCCCAGACACCCACAGGGCCTCTATGCTCTCCTGCAGGCCTGTGCTCACTCACCACCTTCTCAGCGGGTCTCCCCAGACCACCCTAAAGGAAACAGCACTCCCCAACTCAACACCTCCCAGCTCTTGCTAGATGTCTAGACACACTTGCTTTTCTGGACTGTAGGTCTCCTCTGCCACAGGGTCAGGATCTCCACCACAGCTTCCTTACACCAATGCAGGCTTGGCACACTGTAGGTGCTTAGGATTTTACTGGTTCTGCACTCTCCTCTCCCCATTCTCCTGCCTCCCAGGAAAGGGAAGGGCTGATGGAAGCCTTGCAAGACGTGGGAGGACAACAAACGCATGTCCCAGACCCCAGGTGGGCAGGGCCCAGAGTGGCTGCCCTTCCCATCCACGCTTGCCACTCATGGACCATAGCGATCCCCACTTAGCCCCATGAGGGGGTTGTGATCCCTAATCCCATTTTACAGAGGTGGAGACAGGCCCAGAGAGGTCAAACGACTTGCCCAGGTCCACACAGCTGGGTAGGGGTGGCACCAGGATCGGAACCCAAACCCGGGCTCTCGGTTCCTGGAGCAGGAGCTTCCTGGGAGGTCTGCAGACAAGGGGAGCGGGAGCAAAGGGCTCTCAGGCTCCGGACAGTTAGAGCCTGGCACCGGACCCCCATCCCTGGTCCCGGGCCTGCGGGGGAAAGAGGACTGGAGTGAGTAGACAGAGCCCACGGCGATCGCGCCCTCCCCCTCTCCAGGCACAGCCCCGCCTGCCGCCGCCGCTGCATTCCTGGGG